GTGTAATAAAGGTAATAGGTAAACGTAAATGACGTTGTTGTGAGAGTTAAAGGAGATGATGCACGTGAAGTGATTGGCCCAGCACCCGGCACATAGTAAACGCTCAATCAATTATATTAGTGATTGATTTCCACCCTTTTCATCTCATGGCACCCATTAAATTCTGGAGGACACCAACAAATTTATTTTTATGCCGATCTTACAAAGATAGCTATAATTTCTATTTGTTCACACTGGATGGCTATTGTTGGGTTAGCAGATCAATATACTTTGATTTTAGACTGAGTAGCTTGGGGAGTAACTTGCACACGAATCACCAAGGAGCTGGGGTGCTGCCAGTCCTCCTTGCAGCGTAAGAACAGACTGTATTTACCTTCACCGTCTTTTATTGTCCTCACTAGCAAGAGGCCTGTGAGAAAAAGCTCCGTTCCAGCACATCTGAGTGTCTAATAACGTAGCAAAATGCGTTACTCATTGGAAGCAGCAAGACGGGGCTATAATCCTGTCTAGAAGTCACAGTATCCAGCAGATTTTCCCACCTCTTTCTGTAAACCATTCCTTTTAAAGTATACGTTTCAAACCAAGTGTGTTTATAGAGCTGGCATCTCCCTGGCTTGCGTTGCAAAGTTTCCTTTCCTTATTAAGGGTGGGAGCTCTCTAATGAAGGTGTTTGTCACCCGAAGTGGGGTTTGTTTACTATGTTAGGGCTCTGCCCGGGGCTTCTCTATTCAGGTCTCCTTCCTCCTGTCCATCGGCTGACGTCCGAGGCTGCTGCTCCCCTCAGTTCGCTCCTTCTTCTGTTTCCCCCAAAGCATTTCACTTTATTTTTCTTATATTTTAACTACTGCCTTCATCCATGTTGATACTCAGAGCCATTACTCGCTAAAGGCACATGCCCCCTCTTAAAAACGACCTTCTAGGACAGTGATGGCAAACCTATGTCACCTCTGACACGCGAACTCATTTTTTTTGGTTAATTTTTCTTTGTTAAATGGCATTTAAATATATAAAATAAATATCAAAAATATAAGTCTTTGTTTTACTATGGTTGCAGATATCAAAAAATTTCTCTATGTGACACGGCACCAGAGTTAAGTTAGGGTTTTTCAAAATGCTGACACGCCGAGCTCAGAAGATTCGCCATCACTGGTCTAGGATCTGCCAGGAAGGGCAGTCTGTCCATCAACTCAGTTCGTGTAGCATCTGCAGGGCAGTCTCTCTGACCCCCCTGCGACCGGGTTTGGGTTCCCGTCCTTGAATCTCAAGGCTGGACCACTGACTGGCTGATGTAGCATCGATCACCCTGCTCATTGCATCTGACCACTCCCTGCCTCTTTGCCTCAGGGCCGACCATGCATCCCAGTTTCAGGCTCAAGTGAAATAATGCACATGAGTATTTTCATGGACTACGAGGACTTTATAAGTTGTTCTTTCGAAGGCGTTCTGCCCATACACTTAAAACGTGAAAATGCTACTGGTGTCAAATCCTTTTCACCAACCTACTTCTTAAATCCTTAGGAAAGTGGTCGGGGCCCCCCTCCCTTTTGGTTTTCTGTTAACATCATGGGGAGATTTCAATAAGCAGTTTGCTTGCTTATCAAACAAATACCTATGTGGCACCTCGTGATGGCTAGTGACCCTAACGTCATTGTTCTCTCAGCTCATTTTCCTATGCCGCCCTCTATGCCCGCGTTCATTTCCCCTGGCCTTGCTTTCTGCTCAGCAGCAGGTAAAGCGTTAGCATGAGTGTCTCATTTCTTGTTTAGAACTTGGATTCAGAGGTTTATCGACTGTGACCAGCGATGGGAAACTCAGGTCCCCCCGTGGAGGGAGATATTTTTGCGCAGCGGGATCTTATGATTTCCTTCACGTCACACCCTATTATGTCTTTGAAGAAAGCGTTGTGTATTTCTTTTCTGTTATCTTTCTTCCAAAACGGGTAGAAACCCCTTTGCAGTCAATGAAGCGATGGTGTGACTGATGAATTATAAATAGGAAAGTGTTCATCTCTGCCAAGACACTTGAATCTGAATTGTGCAAATCTCCGTCACTATCCCCTTTTGAAGATAAGACTAGTTTTATGTGGCGACAATGAAGGCTTATCATGTACATCTCCAGAGTTTGAAAATATGTATCTAAAAATAGATGAAAGTGATGAATACATCCAGGTTCTGATATCAGGAAACTAACAATATGTTTTTAATGCATTAATCTCAAAGTACTAAGGATAAACAAGTATCATGTAAAACTGTGTTAATATGGATATATCCTTGTAGCCATTTGATAAATATCAATTTTTGCATTGTTAGAATAATGCATTTATTAATTAAAAAATATCCTAAGAAAAATATACAGGACTCGGGATATTGTTAAGTTTGAATGATTGAAAACCAGTTTGACTATCAGTGACCTGCAACTCACCCTTCCACGTAGAATTCTTGAACAGATAGCACTTTCACTCGAAATTCTCTGTTCTTCAGTGAAAGCATGTCAGAACTCTCTTAGTCAGTGTCAAATGCAAAACAGAAAGTTCATTATCCACTTTGTCACGATAACCTCAATTTTCAGAGAAATTACTCTTCAGAATGAGTCTAAGCTGGAAGAACATGATGAATGCATTAGCAATGGGATGTGATAAAACACATTCTGCATGTGACTCACACAGACCCCAAGTCCCACCTCCTTATTTCACAGATGGGGAAACTGAGGCTTCCTGGGACCAAGGGTACAAGGACATTGGGTGGGTGGACAGGCACCAATCCAATGGCTCTGTTCCTCAGTCGACAGAGCTTTGTTTCACACCACTGCCTGGCACCTTGTTTACCCAACATGAGGCGAAGGCCCTCTGAGAGCCAAGCAGAGGGTCTGTATTTGGGTGGTAAGCTCAGCACAGAAGCCAAACAATATTCTGGACTTTTCCTGTAGTGGAGTACAAGGGGAGAAATAAGTAGTAAAGCAAGTTGGTCATTCTAATTCCATTCATTAGTTGTATCGGTGGCCAGATTTATTTGTTTTTTTAAAAAATATATTTTTATTGATTTCAGAGAGAAGAAGGAAGAGGGAAAGAGATGGAAACATCAATGATGGGAGAAAATCATTGATCAGCTGCCTCCTGCTCGCCCCCTACTGGGGATCAAGTGCCCTGACCAGGAATCAAACCGTTTTGTCCTGGTTTATACGTCAAAGCTCAACCACGCATAACCGCTCATAACACAATTGATTGTACTGTGGGTACTAAGTTTATCTATTAATTAACTGAGCCATACCAGCCAGGCTCAACAACAATTTTCTCTTGCACAGCTAATTCTCTTTCTCAGAAATGAGCCCCCAAGTATGTATTCAGTGTTAGAATAATCCTCTGCTTCAGGAGAAGAATTCCATTTCTTTTTTTTTTTCATGTGCTATCGCATGGGTTTCTAGGCATTTTATAATAGTCATGCTAATGCAGTCAAATTTGAGACCCAAGAAACACATTTCATGGTAAAACTAAAGATCTTGAATCAGATTTTCCTGCAGTTAACTTTTTGGAAAAATGACTTGATATATTTTCTAGGTATTTTATTCATTAAAAGCATAGACTGTTTGTTCATGTGTATGAAGTATTTGTCCTGTGCTTTGTGCTGAATATATGGAAACAGACATGAGTTCTTTCCTCTGGAATCTTCTGACAAATTCTAAGCTGCTATGATAGTACAGATTAAAAAACCTTTTAATGGAAAAATAACTTTATTGTCTTTGAAAAACCCTCACGTTTATAATTTTCAAATTTATATTTAGATTTATTGATTATCAGGCCCATGATGAATTCATTTTGTGAAGAATAAAATATATGAAAGTATAGGAACCGAATTTTCTACCCTTATACTAATAAAACTACAGGAAGACATTAATACATTTTTAACAGCTTCGAATCATCAGGAATTTTTCACATGTAGAAGATATATGCAACATAGAAATTCAGTTATGAGCATAATAGTAGGAAAATTTTACAGGTCAAACATTTCTCAAGAATCCATCTTTAAAAAATATTTGTATTGCTTTTTAGAGAGAGAGGAAGGGACAGGGACAGAAAAATAGAAACATCAATGTGAGAGAGAAACATTGATTGGCTGCCTCCTGCACTCACCCTACCAGGGATTGAGCCCACAACCCGGGCATGTGCCCTGACCAGGAATTGAACCAGCAACTTATGGTGCACAGGACGATGCCCAACCAACTGAGCCACACCAGCCAGGGAAAGAACCCATCTTTTTGGTATCACTCATGGCATAACACAATTGATTATACGGTGGGTACTAAGTTTATCTATTAATTAACATTATTAAGAGCACTCTATCAAAATGTTACATTCTGCTAGAGCAGAGGTTCTCAACCTGTGGGTCGTGACTCCTTTGGGGGTCGAACGACCCTTTCACAGGGGAAAACACATATATAATTACATATTGTTTTTGTGATTAATCACTATGCTTTAATTATGTTCAATTTGTAACAATGAAAATACATCCTGCATATCAGATATTTGCATTATGATTCATAACAGTAGCAAAATTACAGTTATGAAGTAGCAACGAAAATAATTTTATGGTTGGGGGTCACCACAACATGAGGAACTGTATTAAAGGGTTGTGGCATTAGGAAGGTTGAGGACCACTGTGCTAGAGACACAACTTATATAGCTACAACCTTTGAAGGACCAATCTGTATATTGTGACAAAATTTCATTAATAAGAAAACTTCCGTCAGTTGATGACCACAGTAAAAACGTTAATAATATTGGCGTTGTGAAGAAAGACTGTCCTTTTTCAGAGCACTACTTAGGTATGCCATAAATTGTATTAGTCATGTGATCAGAGTTCTCCAGTCCATCCCTTCAGAGATCTGTTTCCCTTCGGGAACGAGAACTCAATTTATAGTTCCTTTCCTTGTACTTTATTCCTACTCTGTTTTGCATTGTGTGTGTGTGTGTGTGTGTGTGTGTAAGTTAGAAGAACAAAGCCAATACTTTCAATAGACTGCCTGCAGTTTAAGCTTCTGAGTGGTCGTCAGGAATTGTCATTGGGCTGAATAGTCTTCAGAAGTTTCTGGTACATCTCCGACTTGAGAAACCTGGGGTATGAGTCTCTCTCCATGTGCGTATACACGATTTTTTGAGCCTCTTCAAAGCACGTTGGAGTGGGTTCTTGAATATTCCTGATGATGGTTTCTCTTGTCGAACTGTCAATGTTAATCTGAAAAGTGAAGTTGCAACAGTGGGCAGGATTAAAGATGAAAATATAAGGCAAGGGTTTAATGCACCCCCCCCTCTCCTGTTCAGTGGACTAGGGTTATTTTGTTTGCTGTTTCATTGGTATCTCAAAAGACATAGGAGGTAAACTCTTGACTTCTTTAAAAGTAAACATCCACCTCCACATCCCAGATAAAAATAACACAAGGCCCAAGACCGGGAAATCGCAGAAACCATTGCTTACTTGGGGAGGGTGCAAGTGGTTTGTTGGTGGAGTCTACAAACAAGGAAGTTTACCTGAGGAAGAAAGGGAGGTTGGTGCTATTTTAAACTTGGCCTTCCGTAATAGGCACGGATGTTGATTTCATGGACTGTGCCCCGAAATGGGAAGAAGGTGAAGAGAAGTGGAGAAATAGAGAAGTGGTCATTTCAGTAAGCCAAGTATTTTCCAGACGAGAGCTTTGAGGAACAGGTCCTCCAAGGTAGGGCTGTCCTGGGTGAGAGGAATCTCATCTACCATCCTCCCCCCTGATCAGAATTCTCGTCCCCCCTTGTCTCCCCACCAGGAGGAGTCTCAGTGTGTCTGTTTCCCTCATGACTCTGTTTTCTGCAGGCAGAGGTGCATGATGGGAAGTGAGATCAATGTGAGCGTTTGCTGGCTTTGCTGGTTTTAAACTCAGGTGAGTGGGGGGTGCTGTGGAGGCACAGACTTTGCCCAGCACCCCCGGGGGTGTCAACGTGCCTATTGATGGTAACCGTAGTTCCTTCTAGCAAAGCCAGTTCTTCTTTGTAAATCACTCTACTAGGGAATGAAAATCATTTAATAAGGAGAGGCTCGGGAGCTACATTGACCTCACTTTGAATCCTGATGTCTCCCCTTTAGCTCTGTGTGTCACTGGGCAAGTTAGTGCACTTCTCTGACTCTCAGGATTCTTATCTGTAAAATGAGGTGAACAGCCCTGACTTTACAGCATCCTTGGAGGTAAGGAGCCCGGCACCTCTGTGTGCCTGGTCAGCAGACAGGAACACCCTGATTTCCGTTCAGGGTCACGGTTGGCTAGGTACCTCTCTAGGGGACTGTGGCTGGATGTAGATCTTGTAAAGCTTCTTCGCCCGAGAAATTCTGCTCCATCGCGAGGCGATTTTCTTGTAGGTCTCACAGGCCATCCAGAATTGGATATTCTCGTCGCTGTGCTCCAGCTTCAGGTATGCCGCGTAGACTACCGGCCCATCTAAAAGCAATGGAGACATCACTTATTTTCCTGGGTCAGAGTCATTAACAACTCTGAAAAACAGACAATGCATTTAAAAATAAAGTCTGGTCCAGCCGGCGTGGCTCAGTGGTTGAGTGTCGACCTATGAAAGTCACAGTTCGATTCCCGGTCAGGGCACATGCCCGGGTTGTGGACTCCATCCCCAGTAGGGGGCGTGCAGGAGGCAGCCGAACAATGATTCTGTCTCATCATTGATGCTTCTATCTCTCTCCCCCTCTCCCTTCCTCTCAGATATAGCAGGTGGTGCTCCTGGTGAAGAAATAGCTGAATGGATAGGCAAACCATTTCTGGCTTAACATGTGAAGCTGGGAGCCCATAATTTCCACTGTGTATCGGAAGAAACAGAGTTCTGTGTTAACAAACAAAAAGCAACTTGATCTATTTTGTGCTCAGAGGAATTTTGACTGAGTGTTTCATCAGGAACGGGAAATAAGGACTCTAAAACGGAGAAATGAGCTATGAAAGGGGGGAAAAATGAGATACCAGATAAAATCTGCAGATCCTGGAATGAGACTTAGCCAGCTACTTGGATGGTTTGAGTGGATGAGTGGGTGGGTAGGGAGGGGATTTGGAAACCAATGATTTTGTATCCCAAATTTGTGTTTATATTCGTGTTTAGCTTAATTGTATAGTAGAATGTTTAGAGATGTTGATTCCAGAACCTGCCTGCCAATTACTGGGATGCTAATGCCGTGTGTGACTGTATGATAGCCTAGTGAAAGCTGACGTGGACAGGAACCTGCCTGATATTTCAGGTCTGATTCCGGCATGTTCTACAGCAGTGATGGCGAACCTATGACATGCGTGTCAGAGGTGACACGTGAACTCATTTTTTTTGGTTGATTTTTCTTTGTTAAATGGCACTTAAATATATAAAATAAATATCAAAAATATAAGTCTTTGTTTTACTATGGTTGCAACTATCAAAAAATTTCTATATGTGACACGGCACCAGAGTTAAGTTAGGGTTTTTCAAAATGCTGACACACCGAACTCAAAAGGTTCGCCATCACTGTTCTACAGAATCCCGTCTTCATTAGATTAACGTGTACGCGTTACCCCGGTTAGTGGCTGAAAACCCAAATGTATAAAAGTGTTCCAGGAATCTGAGTAATTCTTAAAGTTCAGCAGGGAATGGCTCAGCCTAACGTTTCTATTGACTCACACAAGTGAGTTACAAGCCTTTTCCAAGTCTGGCCATGGAGCCCTCTCTGACCTTTTCAAAGCTCTTCCTTCAAAGCTCAAGAGACCGTGGGTGATGCTGCTCGAGACAGTGAATGGGCATCAGCACAGACTCGGCCATTACACTGAGAAGAGGGAAGAAGAGGCCTATGTCACGCACCGTGTACGCCTTTTTCTTGAAAACCACCGCGGTGCTTGGGGACCCTCTCGCGTGTTCTTTTTAAAGCAGTCACTGACATTGGTGTTTCGATGACAGGCCAGGTGACACATGCCGGGACTTCGATGCAGGCGGGGGACCTGACGCTGCTCTGGGCTGAGTCAGGACAGTGGCCCGTCTGTTCTCCCAGGGTTGTTTTCTGCTGGGCTGTCAAGCTCACCCTATCATCGAATCCTCAAGGTGGCCTGTGCCTTGGTCTTCCGTCAGAAATGTGTCTAAAGCAGTTTTAAATTCCTTTTATTTTCCGTTGGCACCACCGGGGATAATGAATTCCACAATCCTACCAGCTTCTGTGTGACGTTTTTATAGCAAGTCTGTTTAATTGAAATTCTCTGGGTTGGCTTCTGTGATATTAATCGTTTCTGGCCTTTTCTCCTCACATCTCTTTGTTCTGTTTTGATAAAAGTAGCTCAAAGTACTGTGGGTTGTTTTTAAATATAGAAAACTTCTAAAAGATAACCATCATTAACAGTTTTTTATTTCCTTTTATTCTATGAACCCTTTGTTCATATTTAATTTCCATCTAACTAGTATTAATTTGTTTACACAAACAGATACACACACACACAAGTCAACCTATTGGTATTAAACTGTGAAAGCAATTTTGTATCACTCTTGAATATATAATATCATGTAGCAAACATTTTTCCTTTTTAGTTTTAATAGTCCACTGCAAAAAAAAAAAAAAAAAGACAAAAAAAAATAGTCCATTGCAAAGCTAAGCTCTGATATACTGATTTACCACAGTTATTGACTACGTAGATTGTTTCCCCATTTTAACACGCTGCGGACCAGTAGTCTTATTGCTGGCTTTACCCAGTGGCCAGATACAGTTCTATTGAACCAGTGCAAAAAAGTTTTACATAAATGTTAAAGGCACGCTTTAAAATGAAACACCCATTGCATTTTGAAGTTATTTATTACATGTTCTTACAAGCTAGTATCTTTTTGAAGTATGAGACTCGGTAACACACTGTGTAATATGAAGCGAGAATTCTCGTGATCCGTCTGCAATGTGTGAAGTAACAGATTATCCCACATTGAACATATTGGTTCATAAATCCTTGCATCTCTAATTATTTCCTTAAGATGCCTTTAAAGGAGTTGAGGTATCTCAGTTTCTGGAAAAATTACTCTGAACTTGCCACGTCCCTGTCAGTTGACACAGAGCACCTAGTACACACTTACTTTGATTACGTTTCACTCTGTATCGCAGTCTACTGTACTTATTGGCTTATGTCCATCACTCTCCCCCTCACCTACACACCCTCGCCTGCACACCCTCACCTGCACACCCTCGCCTGCACACCCTCACCTTCACACCCTCACCTGCACACCCTCACCTTCACACCATCGCCTGCACACCCTCACCTTCACACCCTCACCTTCACACTCTCACCTGCACACCCTCGCCTGCACACCCTCGCCTGCACACCCCTCGCCTTCACACCCTCGCCTGCACACCCTCGCCTGCACACCCTCGCCTTCACACCCTCGCCTGCACACCCTCTCCTGCACACCCTCACCTGCACACCCTCACCTGCACACTCTCACCCGCACACCCTCTCCTGCACACCCTCTCCTGCACACCCTCTGGGAACTGGGACTGCACTTTCTTCACGGGCAGGTGCCCAGAGCCCACACACTGCCTGACACACAGCAGGTCCCCAATCAGAGAATAAATGCCTGTCATTCCGGCCCCTGTGTCCCTCCTGCGTCTATCTTCTAAAATGACTGGCATAGGTTTTGAAAAGTGAAGCAGAGCCTAATTATTCAGCATCAAGGAAAAGCACCAAAGACCAGAGGATTATTATACTTGGCACACGGTTACTTGTTGGTTTTCTGAGAGTGAGACAAAAAAAAAATGTACTCATGGAACAGTGGTGTCTCTGTTGTTGTTTTGTTTTGTTCCCCGCAAAGGGGACAGAGAGCATGAGAAATGAGCGAAGACGAAGGCGCTAAGTGGGAAAAGCTGAGGCAGGGCTGTGGGTAATTGGAGGGTTGGGGGAGGAAACCATGGCAACAGCAGGGATGAGCGGGGAGCTGCCAATCAACACCGCAGCAGCACGATCTCTCCCCAGGGGAAGGGAGCCGGGCCGGGGCTCTGCCTCCGCATCCGGATGCACACGAGGGGACCAGTGTCTCTCAGTGACGCTGAATGTCCACCATAAGGAGGAAGGTGCCCAGGCCAGCCGAGGCTGTCCCCTGGCGTGAACAGCACCTGGCAGTGTGACGATCCTACACGTGTCTGCAGGGGCTGTGATAACTGAGAAAGGGGCAAAGGGTACCGTCTGCCCCAGGATGATTTGGACCAAAGTGAAACGATCGATGCCTTCTAAGGTCATTCCTGTCGCCTAGAAGGCCCCAGGCTCCCACAGGCAGGTTAACTCCTCGCGGTTATTCCAAGACACTCACCTCACTGACAGCTCTGGGCTTTTGGATCTGGGTTCTCCGCTGCTCGGCCTCTGGCCCAGGCCCCAGCGTGGCCGGCTGCTTCTCCTCATTCGGCGCTTAGCTCACATTTTGTCCCTCCTGACAGTTCTCTACTCCTCCAGCTGGATTGCCCTCTGATGCCCGCCTTTCTTTGTCCTGTAGCCTGCCTTTACTTTGTCCAAGGCGCTGGCCACTTTCTGGAATTAATTACTTAGCTCATTTGCTTGGTTGTCTGTCTCCTCCCTCTAGGGGGAGCCCAGGAGCTGAGCACAGTGACCTTGGCCTTGTTCACCCCAGTGTCCCTGGGGCCTGGCGGGTCTGCCGGACACAGGGCCGGCTGGATGAGTCATCCAAGGGCGTGCCTTATAGCTTTACTAAACTTCTTTTTGTTTATATTAAACACACTTTGCTCAGATATCAGTGGGCGACCTCTATTCTCATCTTGTGAGATTTTGGTTAATCAGTATATGTAGGAGCCTTCTTTCTGTCTTTCTGCCTGACATTATAGATTTGGATTTGGATTATTTTTCAGTCTTGACGTTTCCAGTATGAGGAACCCTTGGGTTTTCCGGGATGGTTGGCCTCCTTGTCATTTTAAAGGCATATTTTCGTGTCTTTTCTAGTCCTACTGGGCTTAGCCATCAGAAATACCCCTAGGATTTCCCCCCCATTTTTCTTCTTGGTGGACGCCTAGCACTGTGATGGTATTTTTGGTCCCTGTTTGGTGTTCTGGTTCACCATCATTCCAGGAAAAGTCTTCAGTAATCCTCATATATTTTTTGTGAAGAGATGACTAATAGCTCAGACTATTTTTTTTTCAGGATTCATTTAAAAACTTACTACGACTTCTATGTTCATTTGAAGACAGTTCTTCCCTAAAACCTTTGATGTTAGGAAGCTTGGAGTATTTCCTGTCATCTGCAGACTTGAAAATTTCGCAGGGTACTTTCTGCTTAATTCATTGTGGAGGTTTTTCTTTATGAGACCAGTTTTCACACCCAATCCCTAGGATTCCTGCACAGAATGGACAGTTGACGTTGCTAAGAGGTACCCCAAACACAACTGACTGCCCTCATGGGTGCATGTACTCCTTCGTATTTCTTGCCTTGAGCCCATGACTTTACGCCCTCAGCTCCACTGCTGTTATTATCTTGCATTTATACCCTCCGAATGCTGAGACTTACATCGAACCGTATAAGGCTCACTTCACTGAGACACTGATCCAGTAAGGAAATGAGCTCCGAGGCGTTTTAGCACATCACGACTCAAATGTATTCCCACTTTTGAAGGCACGAAGAAAAGCAAGTTGTTAATTAAAAAAAAAAAATTCTAACTTTAGCCGGCGATGGTGAGGCAGCGTATTTCAGCATGTTACTATTTAAGCATATTTTTTCCAAGGGATTTTACACATGGACTTGTGAGGAATAAATATTCACAGTGACTAATCTTGTTGTAATTAACGCCCAAGGAAATCATGGTGGTTGACAGGACAGACTATTTTCAGGGTTTCCTTTTTAAACTGTGGCTGTTGCCACGTAGAAGGCGGTGAGAAGAGGGTCTACAGTCATCATCCAGGGTCCCCTTCCCCCTAAGAATGAAACCGACTGATTATTCCAAGATGACATAGACACGATACTCACATTTTGTCGCCATCAGCTTCTCAAAAGACTGGGCCCACTGTGACACTTCCTCCGAAGTAAGGCTTTGAAAAGAAGCAAGAGGGGCTCATTGCACTAAAATATTCTCAAGGTTTGATACTATCTTGAAAGTAACACCAAAATATAATCACACGGCACCTGTGTGAGGTTTTGGATGGGAGTTTTACCTTCCTGTGATCTTTTCCATTTTATTTTTACTTCCTAAACGCTTAAAGTTGTAAGAATTATAAAGGCATTATAAAGTTGAAAATGTGATCAAATACATCTTTAAAATGATAAAGGATTATGTATAATAACAAAAGCATAACATGATGCTAATTAGATTGGACGTCCTTCCAGATGTTCTTCCGGACAACCTTCCAGATGAAACTGGGGCTGTGAGGGAAGCCCAGGTCCCAGGTGCAGAGGGAAGCCGGTGCCGGCTGCTGGGGGAAGGAAGGCCTACTCTTGTACGAAATTGTGCATTGGGCCTGTAGTAGCTCTATAAGATCCCTGTTCCCAAATTACCACTATCAATATTTTCATTTATTTCTTTTTAGTCTTTTTTTTTCTTAAAATATATTTTATTGATTTTTTAGAGAGAAGAAGGGAGAGGGATAGAGAGCCAGAAACATCGATGAGAGAGATCGATCAGCTGCCTCCTGCACGCCCCCCAGTGGGGATGTGCCCGCAACCAAGGTACCTGCCCTTGACTGGAATCGAACCTGGGACCCCTGAGTCCGCAGGCCAACGCTCTATCCACTGAGCCAAACCGGTTCGGCACTTTTTAGTCTTTTTGTTGTGTGTGTGTTTTTAACCAAGAAGTAATCATACTCTGCTTGTGTGTTTGTGTTTGTGTACACCTTATGTATATCTGTGTGTGTGTTTCCTTATATATGTAGGGTGTGCCAAAAATGTATACACACTTTGAATAATTATTAATTCCAATGGGTTAAATATGAAAAGAAAGAAACATAAATTGAGCTAACAGAAAAAAAGTGTGTATACTATACATTTTTTGGGACTATATATATATATATATATATATAGAGAGAGAGAGAGAGAGAGAGAGAGAGGCCTGATGCACAAAATTTGTGCAAGAGTACGCCTTCCTTCCCCCGGCTGCCGGCACCGGCTTCCCTCTGGCACCCGGGACCTTGGCTTCATCCAGAAGGATATCCAGAATGATGCCCAGTCTAATTAGCATATTGCCCTTTTATTATTATAGATAGATATATTTATAATGACCTTTTTATATGTCTTCACAGTTGTCTTAATAACCATTTATAGTGTTGTAATTATTTATTTATTTTATTATTATTTTTTTAAAATATATTTTATTGATTTTCTACAGAGATGAAGGGAGAGGAATAGAGAGTTAGAAACATCGATGAGTGAGAAACATCGATCAGCTGCCTCCTGCACACCCCCTATTGGGGATGTGCCCGCAACCAAGGTACATGCCCTTGACCGGAATCAAACCTGGGACCCTTCAGTCCACAGGCAGACGCTCTATTCACTGAGCCAAACCGGTTAGGGCTAGTGTTGTAATTTATAATCTTTTATATTCCGTACCATTTATCATGATTAAGGAGTATTCTACAAGGGGCATTTCATAGTTTACATAATTATTCCCAGTGAGCAGTTTGATGATTTCCCACTTTCACCCTTAAAACCCACCGTGGCCCAGCTGTGAGAAAGGCTTGCCACGTCCTCACAGTTAGAGTAACTCCTTACAGCGGTTCTCAACCTGTGGGTCGCGACCCCTTTGGCGGTCGAACGACCCTTTCACAGGGGTCGCCTAAGACCATCCTGCATATCAGATATTTACATGACGATTCATAACAGTAACAGCATTACAGTTATGAAGTAGCAACGAAAATAATTTTATGGTTGGGTCACAACATGAGGAACTGTATTTAAAGGGCCAGAAGGTTGAGAACCACTGCCTTAGGACGTTAGCAGAAGTGGGATCCAGTGGGCCAAAAGGTGCACCTTTTTTTAGGGTCTCAGTACAAATTGCCAAAGTGCTTGTAAAGGGTTAGGCATTGTATGCAGCAACGTGTTTGCCTGCTTATCTAATAGAATCTTAGTTTATCCACCTACCCTATTTGATTGCATTCATATAATAAAGTCATGTATAGATATATTGTCTATTATTTGCTATAATTTTTACATGTTGAGGGGTTTAATTTTATTGCTGCGAATAACATGTCAAGTTACATTTCACTTAAACAGTATTTAAAAAAACCATTTACCATTTAGAAAGTGTCCGTGAAAGATGCTGACTTGAAGGCTTTATTTCTGTTCGTTTTGGGGGGCTTTTGAGGTGAATTGGCAATGCTTCCACATTAATCATCTTAGTTTCCCGCTGTTAAAATACTCAGTGTGCTCATTGCCATTGAGCTTATGACCCATTCCTAAGGTCCCCGTTTTTAGTAGCTGCATCTCCCGAAAGACAGCTTGTGGACACAAGCTTCCACTGTCCCCCGGACTAATTCTGGCCCCGTTAGCCCCGTAATTGATGGAACAGCCAGTGGCATTAGCAGGTACCTGATACCATGAAGGGAGATTAGGTAAAGAGGTTAAAAAATAACCTAGAACATGGAAAACTATTGGGAGTCCTTAAAAAAAAAGGTCAAATATATTTTGTTTTCTAAAATTTTAGGTGTCTCTGGCCGGTATTAGATGGACTGTTTGCATCAGCACGGAGGCTTAGCAGTGCACTGCTGTGAAGATTGCTTTAAAAGCCACCTTTCCATGAAATGGTATCTGACTCACTGTTCTTTTCTCTTATTAGAACTTGAGGGAAGCAGTTGCCTAAAACAACCCTGCCAGGCCGGTGAAGTGGGCCAGCGCTGGGCTGGGTGTGCTGCCTTCTCCCCGTTCTACCCGCCCCCCTCACTAAGGAGGGAATGAGACCTACAGCATGGGCTCACCCGCCATCACTGTCATGGTTTAGCTTAAAATTTGGTGTTGCTAATAGTTGGACTGAAGAAGTCTTTGGCCTCTCAGATTCCTGAGATTTATGGGGATAGGAGACTATAGTTGCAGACATTATGGTTGGGGATAAAACTGTGGAATGACATCTCTTTTTGGTTTACACCCATTTTTTTTTTTTTTGCTTGTAAGTTTTTCTTAGTAACTCACAAGTTCACAAGTTCTACCCTGTCCCACGGCCATCTGGGCGTCCTCATCAGAACTGTTCTAAACACCTTTGCCCCTTCCACCCACCCTGATTTTTTAATCCTCACCCAAGGATATTTTCCCCCATTGATTTTTTAAAGAGAGTGGGAGGGAGGGAGGGAGGGAGGGAGGGAGAGAGAGAGAGAGAGAGAGAGAGAGAAACATCAATGTGAGAGAGACACATCGACTGGTTCCCCGACCAGGGCCAGGGATGGAGCCTGCAACTGAGGCACGTGCCCTTGACCGGAATCGAACCTGTGGCCCTTCAGTCTAGGGGTCAGTGCTCTGACCACTGAGCCAAACCGGCTAGAGCACTCACTCGGATTTTTAAAGAAAAGTTCTCCTCTTTTGTGTCCCTCCTGCCCCCTTTCTTCTGGACAGATAGGCTGACTGTGCCTATCAGTGCAGCAGCCACACCTGGTCTTGTGACTCGCCCAGCTTGGAGTCTTCCTGCCTCCTCCGCCCACACACGATAGCTCACAAACATTTTGGGGCATTTTGCTGCTTCGGGGCATGAGCATGCATGCCGGGAGCCGTGGCCAGAACCGAGGTCTCCACGTGGGCTAGGTTAGGCACTCACGGTTAGCCCAACAGGGACCCTCCACCCAGGCCTTCTCTGAGCTGAGCAGATCCAATCACATGGTTTGCTACCTTTATCAGGCCTTACACTTCCCATGTTGATCCAGTCACAGTTCCACCCCCCCCCATACCCCAAAGTCAAGCAGACTTGGGAGCTTAGTAAGCATTTGGTTTCACCCCTAGTCTCCCCTCTTCCACCTGGGGATGAAGATTTTCAGAACTCTGCAGGTGGAGGATTTGAGCCAGGAACATGTTGGATCAAATAACTTCATTTTAAGATACTATAAAACTTAAAAAAAATCTAAGAATGTTTTCTCATAACAGACTCCCTGAAAACATCTAACTTTCTGAATTCTCAAGTATGAACCACGAATAATGAAAACGGGACCTTGTGTAATAGATGATTGGTCCTCTGGGGGAATCACTCGTGCGTGAATGCAGATTTTACTTTCTGAGCAAACTGTGTTAAGAGAGCAGTTGAAGGCGTAGACCCCCGTGAAATGCTTTAGCACGGCCATCGAACGTAACGGCTTACTTACTTTGAAGGGGGCCTCTTCGACGCATCTCTGCACATCGTACACACCCAGCAAGTCCGCCTGCTCATTTTTCTGAAGAAAGACAGCATCCGCTGAGTATAATTTAGTCATTTAAAATAATTACATGTTAAGAGTGCATTTCTAAAGAGCACACAGAGATAGCACGTTTGAAGTTAATGGGCTACAGTCACTGGTCAGGGGAGAGGATGACAGGAGAATAAAAGGACTCATAACTATTTTAGGGGAACGCAGGTGCTTTGAGTTGTGACTTTAGGACTCATCTGGCCCACCCGTCCGTCAAAGGGCTCGATCCCCAGTGTGGGGTGTGCAGGAGGCAGCCAGTCAATGACTCTCTCTCTCATCATTGATGTTTCTAGCTCTCCTTTTCCCTTCTTCTCTGAAATCAACAATAATAATAATTATCTATACTAATAAAAGAGTAATATGCTAATTAGACTGGGAGACCTTCCAGAAGACCTTCCACATGTTCTTCTGGACAAAGCCATGGTGCGGGGCCGAGGTAGAGGCAGTTAGAGGCCAAGAGGGGAGGGCAGTTGTGGGTGATCAGGCTGGTGG